GGAAATCCACAGGCTGCAACAATCAGGTTGTCTGTGGGACAGATGTCCAGTTGACTGGGGGCTCAAGGCACTGGGCACTAATCTGAAAGCCACCACTTTATGTCCGTGAGGGCAGCTCCTTTCCATGTTTAGTGGAGGATGTAACAGCAACAGCACCAGAAGTTGAAGCTGGAGGTCCCTTCGCTAATGAACAACCCCCTGCACCTCCACTCACGTGGGTCCCTGTGCCCCTTTGCCCTCCCGATAATGCTGGGGGCCACCATTCCTTCTGCACAGCTGGTGAACGTCTTTGGGATTTGTTTTCATGGGTGATGTGCTCTAGCAGAACTCTAGGTTCCCCTGGGAATGGCATACAGGCTGTGTTCTTCTACTTCTGCATGCAATCAGACCAGCTAATAAAAAATATCAGTCAAAACCTCCCAAACTATCAGATTCAAGCCTCCTTTGGCTGCAGACACTACAACCATGGTCATACAGGCTTTGTAGAATAACTAAGGGGACCCAAACAGCAAGGGAGCTGCCTGCATATGGTCCAGACACTTCTCCAACATGAGGGACTTGCTGAAGGTGGACCAGCAAGTCTTTCCTCCTCTGTACTACCCAGGAAGAAGCCTGGTGTACTGGGAAAGCCGGAACAAGCTCAGATCTCTCTCTTCAGTGTTTCATATACCCAGTATGTATGCCTAACCTCCTCATGCCAGGGAAGTCTATTGAGCAGACTTCTCCCCCAGGTAGGATGCGTTCTTTCCAGTCTTCTTCAGGGTTTCCAACAGGGTATCAACGTTGTGCTCTGATTCGATGCATACCTTCTTGTTGGGCAGGTCAATATCAAACTGGACACCTATGAGGAGAGGAAAAACGTGCTCCACAGCTGAGACCGGCCAAATGGTCTGAGAGCGAGAGAAAGCTCACCTTACACTCATCTGAGCCCCCAAGGCTGACTGTCAGTCAAATGCACATGTGCTTCCTCCCAGGAAATCCTGATACTGCCACCAGCCAGCAAAACCAAACCAGTGTCCTGCTAGCACTGGTGTGAAGGAAGGCAGGCTTCCTACAGGTCTGTGCTTGGCACCAGATTTTCTCAACTGCTTCAGTCTGCTCGCTCCCCCTTACACCAGCACAATCACTCATGCAATAACTAGAATGAGCTGAGTTCAAACCAGCCATTATAATCTCCAGCCAGCCCAGTCTGTGCTGTGGTTCAGTGTGTGATGGGCACTAAGGAGTGACTGGCGTAAGGGTTGGGACAGGGTCAGGGGACAGGTTCTTTCAGTGGCAGTGCCAGCTAGCAGCTGCAAGTAGGAAGAAACACCAGGCACTTTTCCATGTAGAACTCTCAGTGGCTAATAAAGGTGAGCCACTTTCAACCCAGCGAGAAGAACTGCACATGAAATCTGTATCCAATCACTTATTTTCATAAAACTTGCAGGAGCGTACCAGCTTTGAGAGCTCTGCCACATCATCACATTGGGCAGAAATTGGTCAGCATGTTCAAGACTGAGGGGAGGAGGGAAGAGCTGGCAAACACATACAGGGAAAGTGGAATTGCTACTGCCAGGTAATGGGGTCCTGGAGAAGTCCCAGAGCCTTTGGCTTGGTGACTGAAAGCCGTTCTCCCTTGGTGGTGCAGGGGAGTGGGATGACAAGTCCTTATGACTGATGAGTGTAGGCCTGATCCTTCCCTCTTGGTATTCTCACCACAAAGGAAGCATAGATTATAATTTTCTATGTGGTATAAAACACAGGCTGTGGAGGGAATCCCTGAGCTCTCTGCTCAGCAGCTTTTCAGAGAGACTACTCTACTTGGAAGCTGGGGGCTTCCTGACCATAGACATCTCGGGCCTCCTTGGGGACAATGCCTGGTAGGTCATCCACCTGCCTTCCTTCTGACAAGACGGTCTGAGCAGGGCTCTACCAGTGCAGCTCCCAGTGGGTTCAGGATAAGGCCTTGGTGATTCACAGAGATACCTGTGACTGGAGCCTCCTGCAGCCACCGGGGCAGCTCCTCCCTCCCTCGCCATTTCTCCAGGGGTCACAAGAGTCCTGCTAATAATCAGTGATTTGTTGCTGACTAATCAGCATGCTCGGAGCAGAGTGGTGAGGGCAGGGAGAAGAGGTTTCCAATTAGCTGCTTTCAGCTTTTACCCACAACGCCAACCTTGCAAAACACGGGACCCCAGGGGAGTGATATCCAGGCCTAGAGCTGGCTGTCCCTCCAGTAAGCTGGCTGCCATATACCCAGCACTGATAGCTCAACTCACCTCCCAGCTTGTGCAGGACACGGGTGACTGCATTGGAGCAGCCTTCACAGGTCATGTCCACAAAGAACTCGTGTTTCTGAAAAGAGGCAGATGACCAATGAGGGATGGTGCAGCTGGCAGCATACCATCGGTTTTGTGAGCACTCATGCACCACACTTGCATTTTGGCCCCAAAGATGTGGGTTCATATTCTCCCCAACCAAAAGGTCAACACATGCCACAAAGAGATCCTCAGCAAAACCTAGAGCTCTCGGTACCCCTCTGTATGATGTCCTTGGAGTGTCCCTCACAGAATACCTGTGAGGGACCTTCGAGACCATCTGGTCCAACTCCCTCCTCACAGCAGCACCAACTTCAAGGCTAGCTCCAGCTTCTCAGGGCCTTGTCAAGTTTTCAGCTAAACTCCTCACAGACAATTCAAAATGGAAAGGGATTAAGGGACAGCAGTTCCTATTAGCATTTTCAAGTGTAATTAGCATTTTATTGATTTCGTCATAATTGAACACTTTGGGGGAGGGTGTGTGGAAGGAGGGGACCTTCCTGGAGCCAGACAGGGAACACTACAGGAGGGAAGTGTTTTCAGGGTGCAAATGACTGCCAAAGCCAAGTGGGACAAGAGCCCTGTAGCCAGGCAGCCCTCCATCCTGCAACGTGGCCATGGGGCAGGAGGGGACCCAACGCAGCTGGACCCCAAACTGCAGCCATCCCCACCGAGGAGGGGGAAGATCAGTGGATGCGGCCAAATCCCTGGCGCTATGGGGTGAGTCCGACTGACCAGCTCTTCCGCCATGGGGACTGGCAGCACCTTCCTGGCCCTGGCATCGCTGCTGGGGCAGGGCCCAGCCAGCACAAAGACCTTGTCCCCACACAGCCCTCAGCCCACACGGATCCCCCCCTTGCCCCACACGGATCCCAGCCCACACGGATCCCTCCTTGCCCCCCCACCCCCCCCACCCACACA